TCGATGCGGCGTGATGGTGAAGTGTGGGGAGCCATAGCCACCTAGCCACCCCAACTACTCGTTGCAGTCAACAATTATCTACTCTGTACTGTTTCACACTTCACGCCAGACGCTGCCTACGTGTAGCCTGCCTATACGTGGGTCGAGCCATATTAATGCAAGTGGGGAGTATTATGATTCACGATACTAGCAAGATTCAAGTCCAATTGGGCGCCAGGAGTAGCGTCACCTGTGTGAAGTTGGTCTGTGTAGCTGCGTGCTAGCTGGCCACTAAGGGCCAGACAAATGCTCAGCAACCGGCTTTATTGCTAATGCATGCAGTAATAGTATTCGGTTTTGCATGCATGCGGATTCGCGTTGCAGCGCAAGTTGCAATGCAACTCATGTGAGGCCAAATCCCCGTTACAGGCTGTCCAAGGGCCCAGTCCCGTGGACAGCCTGTCGCGAGTTGTTTAGTGACTGGAGAGGCAGCCAGCTGTTTCTAGGAAACAGCTGGCTGTCTATATATTATTAACCCGATTACAGCTATTAAATATCCTCAGATAAGACTGACGACTCGCAAAACACTTGNCTATATATTATTAACCCGATTACAGCTATTAAATATCCTCAGATAAGACTGACGACTCGCAAAACACTTGCGAGAAACCGCATGGCAGGCGCCCACCCTAACCCCCTTCCTTCCCCCCCATTACAATTCGTGCTGCAAGGCAACCCATAATTAATACGCCATCAAGCACTCATTCCTGCAGGGAGTCACACAATCGATCATTGTTGAACACTTAGTTGGCGCTCAGTATAGTGAATACTCACTACAATCACGGCAGCAATGCCGTGCTCGTTGTGAAGTGAGTGAGGGTTGTATGAATAGTGAAAGTGACTGTGAGATTCTTATTGATATACTTTGAATACAACATTGGTGAAAACATTGAGCATTCTTTATGGAGTGAACATTGGTATGGCTATAGGAGAGGGTGGCTTGTGCCTTGGTGCAAAAGCTATTCGCATCAGGCTACGCCGCCTCCTCTCCCAGCCCCAAGGGCCGCAGTGCCTGCTCTACTGGGGTTGAGAGACAACAATTTTAGTGAGAGAGAATTAAGTGAGAGAAGTTGTTTATTTAATCTTTGTTAGTCTGATATATTTGTTCAGTATGATAGATATTGCTTGCCAGCTCGCTATACTCAGCTGTGCGGTTCCAGGGATGCGCCCCACAGTCGCCCTTCCGAGATACAACCGAGTAATTCGTATAGATTATTGTGAATCTTTCTACAAAAGAGAAACACTCTAAGTTGTCTTGACCTGATATCAACAATTGCATGAGGGAATTGAGGGCTCTCTCACACTTCTCATCAGCTTACAGGGCCTGCAGTACCTAGAGAGTTATGGAATCCCATCACCCCATCGCGTGAGGGAACTTGGATCCCTTCTACGCCTCACAATTGTGTTTTTCATCTGCGTTTGTGTTGTCGTTCGGGGCACAAGACGCAGAGCTGCTGGCCGGGACTAGTGCATCTACTGACGTGAGGGGGATCAGGTTCCGAGGGCCACATGATCCCTAAGGCCCCGAACTCCTCTTAGACGGGCGTTTCTGAAGGGGAGTTTCTCATACTCAGCAGCTACCCTGCACGCATGAGGAAACACAGGAACCCACATCACAGAGCCAATGCTACAGTGCGAGTTCACGGCACGACTCAGTAAGATGACCCACGCGAACCGCGTTGGGGCAGACGGTCAAACTGAACAACCAAACTCTTGTGCAGTATTTGCAACTTTATGGCAAATCCGCAGAAAAAGCTCGATTGCCTTCCATCTGCTGAACGGATTAACAGGACAACGGTTAGCTCTTCGACCTGTTGCTTTCCAGTCACCTTGATCAAAATGCCGTTTTCTGACCGGTCGCTGAACCGGGTTCGTATCGGCCAGGAGATACACCTGCAGCTGCATTCCTCCTGAAGCAGCTTGCAGCAGTGCAGGAACACAGGAATAGAGCACAAGAAAGCCAGGCAAACAACCACAAAATATGAAGATCGGCAGCTACCGCTAACTTAGTTCTATTGAGAACAGTCAACGAATCTGCCGTTACCACAGGAGACTGCATCTGAGCAAATGCGAACATTAGATAAGTGTATTCAGATCTAACGCATGCAGTAAAGGAAACTTCGTTTGAGAGGCTGGCTTGGTTAATCAGCCGCAGCGAGATGAGCTGCAACACCATTTCAGGCTGCCTCCTCCCCGCAACACCCAGGCCTGAGCTCTGAGCTCAACGCCCAGGAGGCGTGAAGAGAGGAGGAGCAGATCAGCCGCTTTTGGTAAACTCTTACTTTGAGTCTTTACGTACACTGCAGCTCCCTTCTGACCTCGACTAAGCCCGGAGAGCAGCAGTTACACCTCTCCTCCCCACAAGCCCCGGGCTCTTGCGTCCCTGTACACCGGAATCCTCGACACTTCATTGGATGCCGTGTGCTTTGTGGGGGGTTTTATCTCGAAGATATTTTCCGTG